CTGCTCTCCCCACACAGTGTAGACTCCAGTGCATCTCTGCACTGCTCACAGTATCTAGCAGTTCCACTGCAACATCATTTTTAGTGAATAATGAAAAGGAGTAAATACTAGATGTGTCAGCACAGGCTGACCTCATTGATACAGAACCTGTACCTTCTAAGGACCTACTAGGTATGTTAAATGTTATAATCTGCATTCTAGGAAATCCTGTCTGTGTGTCCCTGCACTAGCTCCAGGGCCCAGTGTCTCATAGCAAGGCTGAAGCCCTAAAGCACACACTTCATTCCTCTTAACCCTGGAATCCTCCACAGTTTCTCTGCCTGTCAGGAGGTGAAGAGAAGGGTGGGCTAGGAATACGACTGTAAGTCAGGGCTCTCTGCTTCAAACTGAAAATTTTCCCCTTACCTGTTTAAGATAGGTGGGTTTTTAGGTAAGTGGCCTTTGTAGATAATATTGTTTTATGTGGTGGGGGAGAGAAGAAGAATATTTGAAAATTCATAATCTTTCCAACAGCCTTTTCCAGCTTTGAATTATTTTGACAGAAAGTCCCTCGTTACCACGAGGAGAGTGCCCTGTGGCCTGCGTTGATGCCCATGCCCACAGGCCAGATTTCATTCTTCACTCTTTGTTTTTCCAGACAGGGTTTCTCTGTGTAGCCCTGGCTGTCCTGGAACTCTCTCTGTAGACCAGGCTGGCCTCAGACTCACAGATCTCTGCCTCCTGCTTCTTCCTGAGCTGGGATTAAAGGCGTGTGCTGCCTTACCCAGCCTTGATCCTTGTAAGTCAGCACAGTCCTTCCCAAGGCTGTGCCTCACAGGTCCAGGTGCCTCGTGAGGCGATGATCTGTGAGTGCTTTGTTCAGATATACTTGAAAAATTATTTTCATTTGGCAGGTCTCATCGTGTTCCTGCTTCAGGAGACCTTAGGGACTGTCGTCAATCAGGGGCTTCTGGGGAGATCTGGACCATTTTCTATGAACCTTCCACTACAATCTCCATCTTTAAGAAGAAGCTCAAGGGCCAGAGCCAACAAGATGACCGGAACCCCCTCGTGAGTGACTGAAGCCACACTGCACCGAGACAGGAGGCTGCTCCTGAGCTGAAGGTGGCTGGGGTCCCTTCCTCTGTAGCTCTCCATTCACCTAGGTCTACAGACTTGGAAGGGGCGCCTGGTGCAGGGCACTGTGGCCTGGAGTCCTCCATCACTTGCACTTAGGCTGAACACTCGAAGCTCGGCCCCTGGCCTGCAGCTCTGCCAAGACTGGGGCTGAGTTGACAGGACACAGCTGGACCTGATTCTAGACGACTGTTGGGTGGTGGGTAGTTTAGTGTGTGATGCATTTTTATTTTCTATTTTGACCGTGTATGGATCAGTCTCCCCTGATCTTTACAGTTTGGAGCAGAGCCAGACTGAAAAAATTCTCGGGTTTTCTTGAAGGCTGGCCTGGTTCCCTGCCAAATGTGGTTAGCACCTCAGAGTGCGCAGAGGCCCAGTGCTCTGTACCAGGCCTATAGCGTTCTCTCTGATGCCGACTAAGATGTGCCTCATCTAGTCTGAGGGGACTGAGAACAGGGTCACACTAGATGTCTTCTTTCTAGAGGGTATTTAACAATACTTACTGGTCTGCAGGGCTAACCTGGGGATTGAGCATAAAAAAATCTACCTGTTTGTCCATGGGGCAGACAGAGTAAACTGCTTATATACTAGATTTACCTTGCCTGGCCCCCAAGCAGTTCACAAGTCTGTGGAATCTGAACTCAGCCTGTCCCTCTGTCCTCTCAGCTAACTCCTAGTTCAGAACCAGGAGTTTAAAGGCTGTAGCATAGTATGGGGGCTGTAGCTCAGTGGTAGAGAGTTTGCCTTGCATACATGAGGCCCTAAGGTCATTGCTAACACTGCCAAAAAAGAGAGAGAAAACTGTAGCATAGCTTGTGGGCACATCCTGTGATGAGACAGAGACCTGTGGATCCTACATGAGGTGTCTACCATTTTAAAAGAAGATCACAACTACCAAGAGCCATGTCCTTTGTCCCTTATCAGGGGGACAGAGTAGTTAGGGTAAGGGCTCTTGTCTTGCCCCATCAATCTGTCCCTTAGACAGGGAGGCAGACTACAGAAGCTGGCAAAAGGAAAAGGCAGGGCCTGGGAACTGGAGCTCTTTTCAGGAGAGGCTGAAAGATTTAGAGTCCCAGTTACAGTGGCCGCCAGTTGTGAGAGGAAGGGCCATCCCTGATGGAGAAGTCCTGCAGTCTGGAAGTGACCTTTGTCAGCAGTAGCTGAGAGGAACAACCCGTGCCCTGAAGGGGGACCTTGGTCGCTCTCCTGCCAGCACTTGAGCTTTGGAGCTGTGCCTCTGATCTCCTGGGTGCCCTCCTGGAGCACTGCTTACCTCCCCTGCGTCTCTAAGCCGCTGCCATTGAGGCCTTTGTAGGGTTGGCCAGCCCGTCAGTAACTGGCTGCTCCCAGGACAGAAGACTGTATGGGACCATGGGAGAGCATCCTCAGGGAGAGGCAGTGACCAGAGCTGATGGGTAGAGAGGCAGCTGGAGGAGGAAACTGTGTCTCTACAGTGGGCCAGGGTTGCTGTCCAGCTCCCATGGGAGGCCTGCAGGGTACAGAGCTGCTGGGGGTCATCTGGAAAAGCGGCAGGCGCCTGGGTCTGAAGACAGGCTCACCACGCACAAAGACCGCTGGAGACAGACTGACAGGAGCAGGTTCCAGTCCGGGCTGTTCATAGCGTGTGTGGGAGTCTCGGAAAGCAAGTGTTGAGTCACAGAGCACCATGTGGTAGTACAAAGAGGATGTGGGCTCTCCCGGGAAGGCTCAGCTGGCCAGGACATTTGTCTGCTCACTGGCACCACCGCTCACCTGCTTCTTCACATTGCAGGCTCAGGAAGGAGGAAGCTGCCCCGGTGGCGGCAGCTACGTTCAACTGCCCTTTACTGGCGTCCTCAGGAAGGGCAGTGGACGTGCCCACACTCCTCTTGCTGTTGGCCCGGGCACAGCCCAGCATCCCAGTATGCACTTCCTCTTTGGGGACCAGCCCCAGGAAACACAAGCCCACCTTACAATAGCATGGGGCAGTGGGAAGCTGTGAATCGCCTAGGCCAAGCCCCCAGCAATGACAGCACACTCTGTTAGAGCCTGTCAGCGGCATGTGTACCAGTCGGGGTGAACGCGGAGAGGTGGGCAGCCCAAAGCTGAGTGTGCTGGGGTCAGGGTGTTTGAGTCGAGGTGGGTGGAGATCGCCTGAGGAGAGCAGCACAAAAGACTGCTGAGACCCTGAGACCTTAGGTGTCAGCACATGAAGACCCCACGGGTCTCACTGCTTAAAAAGTAGAGACAGAGTAGGGAGAAGCCTGTGTCTTCCCCACGTCAGACAGGATGGGACTGTGGCTGCCTGGGGTGGGCAAGGTGACCAGACCTCTCAGACTTCCCAAACTGTGAGCCCCGCTGTGAGCCCTGGCTGCAGATTCCTCAGCCAAAAGCTCTCAAAGATCAAAGCTCTGGCAGGTACCGCTGTCCTGACCCTGAGCCAGCCCATGGGATGTGCCTGGGCCAGGTGCCAGCCCACGTCCCAATGTCAGCCCAGGCAGGACCCCACCTGACCCTCGTCAGCCACTGGCCTGACACCAGCAGGGCTTGCCCAGCTGCTGCCAGCATGGGGACAGTCCACACTTAACCTTCAAGAGCACTTAGAAGCGGATGGCCTTCCAGCTCTGTCGGCCTATCTGCAGGGCCCACATTGGGTCTCCTAGGCCAGCTCCTCACTCCACAGTCCTCCATGGTTCTTGGGGCTCCTCTGGGGGTTGGAATCTCCTGTTTGGAGTTTGATGTCCACTTTGGGTGCTGCCTTGGGAACCTCTGTCCTTACCCTCCCTCCAGGCCTCTTTCAGCCTAGCTGCTTTGGTATGATGTGAGGGACTTGTCAGACCCACCAGCCACCCATGTCAGCCAACAGAGCCATGTTGGAACTGAGCGCACTGGCTAAGGTTGAGTGGGCAAAGGAATAGTAGGAGGTGATTCTCCCATGTCAGAGGGAAGTATACAAGGGATCCTTTCTTGCCAACACAGGGAGCTGCCATCCCTGCCACCCTCATGGCACCAAGACCTTCCCATTTCCAAACTCTCCCTCCAGCAGGGATCTGACTTTGGACAACAAGGCTTTATTTGTAAATATGCTCTTAATATACAACGTTGAGAATAAAACAGAAACATCGTGTATTTTAAAATATAAAATGAAGTGTGACACACTGTATACAATTTAATATATATTTTTAGGATTTTGTTATTTAAGAAAATGGAATGTGATGGTACTTAACTTTTACAAAAGAGAGAAAACTGTTATTTTTACTGTTTGAATAAAATAAATATTCTCATTGTTGTAGAAACAGTGGTGGGCCCTAGGCTGTCATTTGTACAGGGGTCCCAGGAGCCGGGCCCACAGCAAAGAGTGTAGTGCTGGGACTCTTAGCCTCCCGGGCACCGGGTCAGGCCCTGCTGGCTCTCTCCTGGTGGTCATTGCTTGGCCATAGCCATGGCACAGCTGGTGAGCTCTGAAGACCAGGACTCCAGATCAGCTCCACCTGCTGTCTGATAGCCTCAACCTACTCACTGTGTACCCACCACCTCTTCTCCACCTGGATGCAGCCGTTACCCAGACAACAGATGCCTGATGGAGAGACTGTAACTATCCCGGGAAGAACTGGGCGGCCTCCCAGAATAACCTGTGCTTCTCTCCGCTGTCTGCCCCCATTCTCTCTGCTGTTGGTTTTTAGACAAGGTCTTTCTCTACTGTGCTGCCCAGGTTCCCCCATCTCAGCCTCCCCAGTAACTAGACTACCGTGCCCTTATCAACCCTTTCCTTAAGAAAGCAACCCTTTGCCATGGCCCGTCTTGTGCCAACAAGGAAAGAAGTCTGGTGAGGCAGTGTGGGTTGGTAGCTGGAGCACAGAGCTGTAGTCAGCGGCCGGGATTCTGTCCATCCACTGGGGCCAGAGCGTCAGACTCCCGGCTTAGAAAGAGCTGCTCTTGGCGTCCACAGAAGTCAGGTTAGAGTGAAGGGCAAACTGACAGGAGAAGCCAAAGACACAGATCCAGGCAAGTGATGTCAGCGCCCCACCCTGCACCCCAGCAGGAAAGGCCGACTCTGCCCATAGGGCAGGGCACATGCTTGGACCCCAGAGCTCAGATTACATTCAAACCCCTCTTTCCATGAGGCTTCTGTGTCCAGTGCATTGGGTTGTATGTGTCATTACCTATTGTGCGTCATTAGTTAAATGGTAGCTATTGCTTTTATTCTAGAATATACCTAGGGGTTAAGAAAGCAGGTGTGTGGTCTTGGTGTCTGGGCAGTGAGAGCCACTCTGTGATAAAACCCTCAGGAGTCCACTGATATCAGTGCGGGCCATCAAGGCGGGACTATTGGGCATTTGACAGATGATCCTGTGTGACTCTGGTCTGAAGAGCTCCTTCCGTGCTAATACCCTACTATCCTTGGGCGAGTGTAGGACGTGCCCAGAAAGCTGCAGGGACAGTGTTGAGACACCGAGGCAGGTGAGAGGACTGAAAGGGACTCAGGTGGTGCAGGAGTTTCCCATAAGCAGCAAAGCCAGCCTGCCTTTGAGACAGGCTATCTGACACCTGCTGCTCCTTCCAGAGCCCAGCTCTCGAGTCTCCTTGGCCCAGCCAGGTTTTTGGAGGATACAGGCCAGGCCAGCCAAAGAATCCCACCACCATCTGAGATGTGGACTGTTCATTAGAGTCTGAGCCCAGTCCCAGTCCTGTCGTATCGGCTTCCCCTAAGACGTGCCCACCGTGTCTGACCACCACTACAGCCATTTGGGAACCTTTACCACAGTCAGCGCTGGACGGAATTATCCGCACAGCCAGCTGTGCAAATTGTTGTCCCCACGGGGTTGTTTGTTACCCAGCTGCAAAGGCTCCCAGCCCAGATGCATCACAGCACGGAGGGGTGTGGCAAGAAGACACATCAGGTGTTCCCAGAGGCTTCTCGAGTCAGTACCCTCTCCCCGGTTCTACCCCAGTGGGGACACTTCTGCCACCCTTGTGGTGACCACACCACGAATGGCTTTTATCTTTTCTGAGCTTTCCTCTGTTTGCCGAGCACCGCTGTCCGTGATGGGGAATATATTTGTAATGGCAGGAAATGGTTGGTGAGAACATGGGCGGCCTTGCTGATGGATTTCAGACACACTGGGCAGCAACAGGATAATAATAATAATAAATGAGACCAGAATGTGCATCTGGTCTGCCCGAAGATTCCTCTTTGGATTATGAAACAACAGGAAGAGACCCCCAAGCCCATCTGAATAGAGTTTAGGGCCACCTGACCTTGACCTGGCATGTCCCACATCCTCACAGCCTCTGATCCATCACCAGGGCGGCTCCAGTTGCATCCTTTGTCCTGCAGTCAAAGGCTTTTCCCGTGCAGGGGAAAGGCTGGACAAAGGTGACCTTGTCTCCAAGCCTGTGAGTCACAGGGGCCGTATCCTCTCCCAAGTGGGCCATGTGTGTTGAAGCTGTAGGCAGACTCCAGGGCTCAGAGAACTGAGAGGCCTTTGTTCCTCCGTGGCAGTGTTGGGTCCCCACAGGGGTATGTGTTTGCTCCGCTGAAGGGGACACTTTGGGGATAGACGATGTCAGCTATAGTCCCGCAGCACTGTCCCGCAGCCACAAGTCCTCTTTTCTGGTCCCCAGCTGCTCTCACTGGGCCTACCCTGCTGCTGGGAGTGGACAGTGGGTTGAACATAGAAGCCCATCTCCAGGACAGTCAGCTGCAAGGATGGCCTGGGAAATGAACCTGTCAGGTCTGTGGGGACTGGGCTGGGGACTTTAGAAGAAAAGGAAATTGGAGCTTAGAAGCCCTCAGGAGATCACAGAAAGTTCTAAATTACACAGACTGCAGAAACAAAGCTCAGAATCCTCTTTGCTCATGGCCAGGAGTGGAGCAGCTCTTTGTTCCGGTCACTCAACAAAGCAGGGCCAGTACCCACTTCTTGTGCTGATCATGTGATTATATCTCGTTACGTGGCAGAGGCTGCAAGGAGTATTCAGACCTCCAATTTAGCCAGATACAGGGGCAGCACGTTAAGGGCGTCCACGAGCTGAGGGAAGCCGCTGGACATGCCGGGGCTAATCGCAATGGCACCAATAACTCCCGCTCTCCGAGGTGCTCACTGTGGCGCTGACATTGTGCCAAGCACTGCACAGACATCACTAGAGCCTTCGTTTGTTTGTTTGTTTGACATTTCAGCGCTGGTCAAGATGACCTACAAGCTTGAGGTCTTCTTATGCTGATCCAGACAAAACAAAGAATTCAATTCAAACCAAAGCCCACCAGCCACTAGAACAGCCATTTTCCATTGACGAGTGTCCCTTGAGGTCTGAGGTGGGATGTTAAGGATCATCCACCCTGCCTTGGAACTGTTCCTGATAGGAATATTTTTTTAAGAGAAGTAAGCCTTTGTCTCCATGCTTCTCATAGAAAGCTGACTGAATTGGCTTCTTTGAGGAAGAGACTAAATCCACATCCCTGTCTGATTCCTCCTAAGCCTCCTTGACTTAGGCAACAGCAGTAGCAGGAATGGCAGTGGTGGCAGCAGCCATGGGGGCCTGGACCTTTTCAGCAGGTGGGAAGGTGTTCTCCATGTCAGCAAAGCCAGAACCCAGTTGTATCCATTGACGACTGTGGTTCTGAGGCAATGATTGGGTAGCCAGTCTGCAAATGCTGGCAACCCGTGAATGCCCTCCAGGAAGTGAGTGCAGAATCTGCTCTGTGATATCTATCAAGCATGATGTGGCTGTAAATGCAGCCAGTGTCAAACACCTGCTGGATGACCAGCTCAAAGGAGAAGGGGAAGCTCTTCACTGAGTTCAGCAGTGTAGCTTCACTGGCCCCACCTCCTTCGCCTCTGGTCTTTGCCAGCTACACATCTTGCTGGATGTCAGTGGTACCCTGGGGATTTTAGTGGTGAAGTCTAAAGCCTAGGAGAAAGAAGCCTTCTCAGACCACAGACCAGTGTTCTGGGGTCAAACAGTGACCATACATGGGGTGATGGCACCAGCGTGGGCTGCAGATGGCACATTATTGGCCTGCAGCAGGCCCCTGACCTTGTAAACACAAAGCCCATGTCCTCTTGCTATTTGGCAGGTTCCTCCACAGCTGAGTTGGTTTCCAGACATTCCTGGTGGCCTCGCACACCACGGTGTTCTTTCCTGCTGGTACCTCAGCCTTCCCTCAAAGGGGCAGCAGGTCTGCCTAGAGCCCAAACTCTCTGCTCCCACAGTGACATTTTGAGCTATCATCCAAAAGCTGGAAGTAGTTGGACTTCCAGGGTGCTCTGCCTTCCTTGGTCACCACGGAGTACAGCAGGGATCTCTACAGGGAGTTTAAAGACGATGTCACTCTAGTGAGGATGCCTGGCAAGAACCCTACAGGTTCTTAGTTGGAA